TAATGGTAATAAAAAATCGTTGGTTATTCGATGGAAATATTCAACAGGTTCAACTAATTTATTAACAGAGGTAGATAGTATTGAAGTAGAAGAAAGTATTGAAGTTGCCGACAATGCTAGCATCACTACTGCAGTAGCCAGCACGGTGATGGAGGAAAGTAAAGAAAATTCGCCCTTCCACTCTCCGAATGTACTTGGAGAAGCTTCAACGTCTTCTTTAAATCTGCAAAACACTAGCAACGTGTACGAAGAGGTGGAAGAATTGCAAAAGGAAATGTAAGTTAAGTTAAATTAATAAGCATACAATTATATTACATTTATTTATATTACAATAATAGCAAAGCGTTGAAGAAAGAAAATTTGTTGCTGCGCAAACTTGAAAAGAAGCATTCCGCAAAGTGTACCGCCACGAAGATCTCATTTAAACAGAAGGAAAATAAGTATATATATAAAATACAAGTTTTAAAAAGGAGGTTAGAAAAAACTGCTCAAGAATGTGCAAACATGGAGGAAAAACTAAATGGTATATTCACCAGCGGGCAAATAAACAAAATGAAAAATGCGGACAAAAGGCAGTACTGGGATGAGAATGATATTGCCCAATCAATCACACTTCGTGCAGCAAGTGCTAAAGCCTACAAACTTTTGTACCGAAAAGGTTTCCCTCTGCCTTCAATACGTACCCTGCAAAAATGGGCGCAAAAAATAGATGTTTCCAGAGGTTTGATTGAGCCTGTTTTCAAACTATTGGCAGCATCTACACAAATGGATGAAACCCAAAAATTGTGCGTGCTTAGCTTTGACGAGTCGAAAATCAAAAAGTCATATTGCTATGACAAGTCATCCGACACAATATTAGGTCCTGCCAGTTACGTCCAGGTTGCAATGCTTAGAGGTCTGTGTGCACTTGTAATAAAAGATAAATATTTTCAAAAATTTCATCTCTTCAAGTTTGATATCTCGTTGGAAGCAGCCCATTTTTTACGATTTTGACTGCAAAATGACTCCGTCTATATTGAAAAGCATTTTGGCGGAAACAAAACGATGCGGATACACCGTAGTTGCACTAGTATGCGATCTTGGGGGCACAAACAGAGCTCTTTTTACGGAGTTAGATGTCAATCACGACAAGCCTTGGTAAATGACAGAATAATTAAGAAGAGTATATTCTAGTAATATATGTATAATACATATATGTATTTAATTTTCAGGTTCATTTTCGACAACGATGAAATCTTTGT